CTGAAGTGATGTTAGTTTCCCTAAATGCAAGAAAGCAGTGGTGCCTTCCAGAGAAAATACATGTTGACCAAGCATCATTCAGGCACAACTCGGTGCTGTTGGTTGTGAGTACAGTGCTAATGAATAAACAACATACATGAAATAAGGTGTCTGTAAGCAGAAACACACATCAAACAGTTGTGGATGGGTCAGGTGATGAAAATGATCAGAGGCTCACAGGAACCCAACGTGCATCCTCCAGGGGCCATGGGTCAATATCTGCTAACTCAGAGTTTGTGGCAATCTCGTAGAGCGAAATTTGGTTCATGTTTTGATGGCGAATTCACTGTTTAAAAATAGCTCCCAGCCGGGCTCAGTGGCTCAGTCTGTCATCCCAGCACTCACTGTGGTGAGTGAGGGTGGGCCGTGTTTGATTTGTTAATGGACATCAGCACTAAAACAGCGGGCCTGTGGGGCTCCAGAGTGGAGGACCGGGGCTGCCCATTTTGTCTCAGGAGAGGACATATCTGGCAGAAGGAAAACAAGAAAGGGGAAACTCAGGTGTTGCTGAAAGTAAACATTATCCCTGACTCCTGGGTGTCACTGTGAGAGTTTGAACCCTTTTCTCAAATATACGAGTGGGACCCACAAACACAGGAATTTATTTACAAAAAAAGTGTGTATTTGTTCTCATGTTTAAACTTCCAGCACCTTCCAAGTCCTCTTCGCTGGATGCAATACACCTGTTGAGGTGATTTTTCCACTGCTCAAGACAGTTTTGAACATGTCCATTTGGATGCCTTTGGGTGCTTCTGCCGTTTTTTGTTCCACCTCTTCCACATCGACAAAATGTTTCCCTTCGAGGACTTTTTTCATCAGGGAAACGAAAAAAGATCAGGTGAATAGGGAGGGTGGAGCACAGGGATCATGTTGGTTGGGGTCAAACACTGCTGAACACTCAGTGTGGTGTGGGCAGGCGCGCTTGCAAACTACCCATCATGAAGTGGACAAGTGCATCGAAGGAATCTAAAAAAAGAATTCACTGAAACCAAATACAGCCTCTCACAACAATGCTAGCAAGTACACAAATGCTGATGGGTTCCTAGAACACTTACTTCCTTGTAGGGGAAGGCTGGACTACAAGGGGTCTGCCCTCCAAAAGGTAAATTCAGGTTCTTTAGTTCCCCCTTGTGCGAGCCTTTACTCTCCTAGATGGAAGGAAGGGTACAGGTGTGCATGGAGGCAAAAATACCCGAGGGACCGCTGGAAGGCTCGTCACAAGACTGCAGTGGAAAGCAAGGGCAGGCACTGGCCAGGGGACAAGGGTTGTAGGAAGGCGGTTCAGGTTTGGACAAGATGGAGCAGGCAGGAGGCCAGAGACGAGCTGTACTTCCATAGTTGTGAGCTGGGGTGGGATGCCATCTTGTTGAGATGTGATGCCCATGCAGGCCAGGCTGAAAACAGGCCCAAGGCAAGAACCCTGGAGAAAGCTGTGGAGCCCAGAGTCGAGAAGTCACAGAAGGAGTCAGGACCCTGGACAGCTCCACAGGCCCCAGAGGCTGTCAGACTTCTACAAAGTGCAGTCTTCCTCGCGGGCATCCTCGGCCTCTCTGGCTGTCCCTTCTGCCTCCTAGCTGCGGCATTGTCTTCCCTTCTTGGAAAGGAGAGGATATCACTGCCTGCATGGAATTCTTCCCTGCTGGGTCTTCTGGCCTGCTGGGGAGGGGGTCAGGGAACCCCGGCCCTCTGGCCTCACAGCATGGCTGAGCCCTGAGTGAGTGGTCCGGGAATGCCATGCTTTCCTTCCCAGGGTTCTGGCTGCTTCTGGGGTAGAGGCTGCGGCAGGGCAGGATTAAAGGCCTGGCGTTGCCGGACTCGGTGGCTCATCCTGTAATCCCGTGCCTTTGGGAGGCTGAGGTGAGTGGATTGCCTGAGCCCACGGGTTTGAGGCCCGCCTGGGCAGTGAGACCTCATCTCTACAATAAATCAAAAAATCAGCTGGGCGTGGTAGCGCGCACCTGTAGTTCCGGCTACTTGGAAGGCTGAGGCGGAAGGATTGCCGGAGCCCAGCAGGTGGAGGCTGCGGTGGCCGGGAGCGGCCACTGCACTCCAGTCTGGGCAACCGAGTGAGACTGCAACTCAAAAAATAAAAATAATAAATAAATAAATAAATAAATAAAGGCCTGGCGTTCCTCAGCTCTCTCCTGGCGGTGGGGGTGAGGCCTCAACCAGGCTGACACTCACCCCGCACCCACTCTGCTCCAGGCACTGCCGCGGGCAGCTGTGAAGATGAGGATGAGCAGGGCAGGACCTGCCCGCACGCGTAACAGTATCTGGCCAGGGTGCGCTGGTGGCCAGACTGGGAGCTGGAGGCTCACAGACGCAGTACCCTTGTTTCTGATTAAGGCAGGGGCGTACAAGGGGGGGCCCCAAAAAACAGAATTTATTTATAAAAAGTTGTGCATTCTTACATGTTCAAGCTTCCGCCGCCTTCAAAGTCCTCTCCGTTGGATGAAATCCACTTATCGAGATGCCTTTTTCACTGCTCAAAACCCTGTTTGAACTCATTCATGCTGATGCCTTTCAGTGTTTCTGCCATTTTGTACTTCACCTCTTTCACGTTGGCAAAACCTTTCCCTTTGAGGACGTTTGTCATCCAGGGAAACACAGTTGCTCAGGGCGAGATCAGGTGAATAGGGAAGGTAGGGATTGGGGCACGGCGGGCATGTTGTTTCTGGTCAAAAACTGCTGAACACTCAGCACGGTGTGGGCAGGTACTTGCCAATCATCCATCATGAAAGGGGCAAACGTGTTGAATCTTCAAAAAAGAATGTACTGAAGCCGAACGCAGCTTCTCACAACAACGCCAGCTGGCACACGGATGCTGATGGTTCCCTCGCAGGGGAAGCCTGTCCCACAAGGGGCCCACCCTCCAAAAGATAGTTCAGGTTTTTGTTGTGTGTCCCCCCATATATCCTAAAGAGCAGTGCAGGAGTGACCACAGCAGGAACACCAGGGCGGACAGACCTCATCCCCACTCCCCCCATGCCCCTGCCGCCCCCACTAATCCTACTGGTCAGATCCCTCTCCTTAGGCCTACAGGGGGAAACTCCGTGGACCTGGCACCTTTCTACCCATTGAGACGAAGCTGTCACTGTGGGTGTCAGGGCGAGCTCAGCCTGACTTGTCAAGTGTCTGCGGTGAGAGGCGGTCCTGATGACTGTGACTGTTGTTACCTGACCAGGCGCGTGACCACAGGCAGCCTGCGGCTAGTCCCAGGACATCCCGAATGGATGACGAGAGGGAGGGAAAGCACCCAGGGCTTTGCTTTCCTTCCTTCTTGGGGAAGCGGAGAGGTGTGTTAAGGACATTTGAGTACGCTTCTGTCCACAGACCCATAATGCCACTTGGAAGAACAGGTGAGGAACAAGAGCCCCTTCCGCCACACCCTTTTCTGGATGAGACCATCTCCATATGCTCCGAAAATAGATATGCAACATGCCTGTGATCCTAGCACTTTGGGAGGCCAAGGAGGGAGGATCGCTTAAGGCCAGGAGTTTGAGGCCAGCCCAGACAACATAGTGAGACCTCACCTCTACAAACAATTTTAAAAAACTAACTTAGCATGGTGACACACGCCTATAGTCCCGTCTACTCAAGAGGCTGAGGTGGAAGGATTACCTCAGCCCAGAAGCTCGAAGCTGTGGTGAGCTGTGATCGTGCCGCTGCACTCCAGCCTGGATGGCCAAGTGAGACCCCGACTCAAGACAGAAAAACAAAACAACAACATGGGAGGCAGAGCATACAGAGGGGGCTGCCCCTCATCACTTCATCCTCTTTGTCCTCCGGCATGGTGGCTGGTGAGGTGCTGAGGGGTGGCTGTGTGCCGGGCCAGCATGCGCCGTGCTGGGTTAGATGGGCGCTGGAGGCCTGGGTCTGTGTATGGCCATGTCCCTTCCTCGTCATGTGTTTCCGAAGAATCTTGCCGAGCCGCCCTGTGCCTGGTTGTGGAAAAGGGGCACCACACCGTGCATCTGTTGCAGGGTTTCATGAAACTTCCCAGGTCACCTGCTGGCATCCCCAACACAGAACAGAGCCCAGGCACGTCAAGGACATTCCAGGGGGTCGGCGCATGGGTGAGTGAGTGGAGACTGAAGTCTGAACGCTGTGGGGTGCTGTTCAAGGAGCCGTTTTGTTGCTTTAATCGTCAGCCACCTTCCTGTGCCTCCTCTGAGATTATCCCACATTATGGACCCACATTAGCGCAAACTAGCCCAGCTCCCCAGGAAAAGAGGCTGGGTTTCCTCCATGGCCATGGCACACAGGCAGGTCCTCTGAAGGGAGCACACCGTGCTCAGGACGGCTGTGGGCGGCGGCCGGGGTGCTCCCAAAAGGCCCCGAGGGCTCCGAGCAGGCAGCTTGCAGTGACATATCTCAACGCAGACCAGATGGGCCAGTGGAGAAGGCGGCCGGCGTCCAGGAGGTGGGGCTTCCCATTCAACAACCCCGTTCTAATGGCAGCAAGAACTTACAGGCCCAAAGCCAGAGAAAGGGCCAGCATGGCCAAAAGGCAGGAAAGCCACAAGCAGCTGTGGGGAATGCGACCTTCCTCCCAGTCGCAGACGTGACGGCGTGTTCCTCAGGGATGTTGAGGTTAAGAAAGAAATTCTCACCTGCTTTCTAGCCTGTTATATGCGAATGCACCCACCCAGTAACACACAAGCCCAGTCTTCACGGACAATCCCCGGGTCGGGATGGGGTGACGTCGCCCTTTTTCCTTAACTTTTATGCCTGAACTGAGTCAAATGGAGACTCAGTGTCACCAGTGATGGAGACTCACAGACCCCCAGGGAGGAAGCAGGAGGAGTCCAGCCCGGAGTCGTGGGCTCCTGCATGCACAGGAGCTCAGCCACCCTGAGCTTTAATTGCAGTGAGCAGTTGGGGCTGCCAGGGGGCCGGATGGGCTGAGGCCAGATGAGAACAGGGCCACGGCCGCCTCCCCCACCCTGAGCGGGACCCACCTTTGTTGTCGTGCCACACCCGCAGCTTGCAGAGGTGACCCAGGCTCAGCATGTCGGGGAAGCTGAACGTGTCTGTGTTGTTCCGCTCAAACTTGTTCCAGTTGGCTGACTGCTTCAGGGCCAGGGTCCCGCTGTCCCCGTTCTCCCCAAAGATGATGATGAACACGTTGGCGTCGGTCCCTGCTCCTGGGGGCACAGGATGGGGCTTTGGGCACTGCCCTCGGACACGCACGGCCCTGGGTTCTCGCCTGGCTTCTGGGCCCCTTGGAGAAGCCCAGGGACGCAGGTGGACGGGGCAGGGTCCGAGAGGGCTGCTGGTGTCCTGCGGCTCCGGGTCCCCAGGCCCATCCTTTGTCTTCTCTTGATGCCTTGTGAAAGCCGAGGGTCTAACTGGAATTGCGGCCAGTGTGTGTGGGTGGGTTAGCACAAGAGCGTGTCTATTTCTGGGAAGTGTCCTGCAACTCCAGGGACGCGACACAGAGGCTGCGCTGCCAGCCAGAGGCTCAGGTCACCCCCACACAAGGTGGGTTCAGAAGGAAGTGTGGAGTTCTGTGCTCCCCACGGCCGCCCCTGATGAGCAGGCCACACCAGGACTTCATGGCATCTGCTTAAGCCAAATGCAGGTACTGGCCCAAGACCAGAGGCAAGTGGTTTTGGATGTGGCAGCCCGTGAGGCTTTTCTAACACACCACTGTGATCAGTCAGCTGATCAGTTGATTTCTGAGGGGGCATCGGGAGGGGGTGGAAGGGCTGGAGAGCAAGTGGACACTTGGAACTCTACGCAGTGAGGACGAAAGCCCCTTTTGGGGACAGGAAGAAAGGAGGCGCCCCAGCCATACTGGACCAGTTTTACTGACTATTACCTATGCCTGAGATCCCACCATGAGAGCTTCATTTCTTTGGCTAGGTGCTTCTCACTGAAAATGTAAACTGCCCCGTCAACAAGTTAGTCCCTCAGTGGTCATCTACACTGGGTGGGTCAGGCTTGCCAGATTCCTTGCTGTGGTTCCTGGTGACAGGCTCGGCGTGGGGGGCGCGTACGTAGGGTTCTGGCCTCGCTGCCGGATGAGTGCATGTCCCTCTCAGCCCCTAGCCTTCCACCTGCCAGCCCTTTTGCTGGGAAGACCCTTCCCCTGGGCATCCCGTCTGCCTGAGTGGTGTCTGTTGGTCTTTCTGGACTTTGGCACTGCCTCTGAGAAGCCCTCCGTGACTCTCACCTCCACGGCCAGGTAGGTAAGCCGCCCTCCTCCAGGTCCCCCTGCAGGACCCTGGGCCGCACCTGCCGCCGCCCCCACACTGCACCGGTCGCCCCACTAGGATGTCAGACCCGTGAGGGCCCAGGGTCCGCTTCTCTCCTGAGACCCGAGGCCGAAGCTGGCAAGTGGCAGGCGGCCACCAAGCCGTGGCGGACG